GCACTGAGGTGATCCCTGTTGTAAATAAATAATCTCCTTTTGTTCTCAAAGAAAGAACTGTCTGAGTGTGAGTCCGTCCAGTAGCCATGACAAGCAGTCAGTGGCGGGTTTTGATATGGGCGACTTGGGCTGTTGACCACGGCGGTATCATGGTTGCGATGGCATCATGGCATCTGCAAAAAAAAGTTGCTTGCACCCATCCTGCCCCGACATCATGCCAGCACATTTTGGAGATTGCATAGGCACATGCCTATTTGCGAGGAGTAAGGGCACCCTCCATTTATGAGGTGCCTGCTCCTGCACAGGGAGGAGAGGGGTGGAATAGCAGGGTACTCTCTGGCTGGCTAATGCGGCATCTAAAACCAGCTTGCAAAATAAAACCAAATTAAAAACCAAACAAATTAGGTCAACGTTAACACCCTCATCACAATTAACACAATTAAAATTTTTAACGCAATTAATCCATCTGGAGCGCAGAATGACTCAAAATCCCTGACATGTCTCTGTCAACGCATTTCGGGCAGTTTGTCCAGAGTTTGTCCATTCTGCGCTCCAGATAGGTAGGTCTGTTAGTTTATGTAGTAGGGTTGGGTGTTGATACTGGAGTGCAAAATTACTGATGGAAGATGGAAAAGAAAAGTTCAAAGCCATCAGGTCCTGAGCTTAGAAAAAAAAGAGAAAAGAAGAGAGAAACGAGCAAAAGATACAGGCAAGCAGATGTGTCTTTGGATAATAGCAGGTATTATTTATGACATGTATCCTGAAACAAGATAGCATTCATTAGTAGGGATTGGGAAAACTTCTGTTTACCTTTCTTAGCCACTTGGCTATGATAGTAAGCAGTAGGCAGACAGTAGACACTGATGTGGCTTATTGACTTTTTGGACTGTTTTCAGCACAATATTAATTAGCCATTAATTGGAAGAGCTGTAATGTTGATTTGATTTGTCTGCTCTTCTCAATGCATGACGAATTATAATGACTGTTTGTTAGCCATTTGCATAGTCTCTCTCTCTCTCACTATAAAAAATATTTATCTGGTTAATTTCAGTACATTTCCATCATCAGTTTTCACAATAAGATATGTTAATGTATAATCCTTAATATGTTTTATATGTGTGTGTGTGTGTGTGTGTGTGTTTGTGTGTGTGTGTGTTACTTTTTTCAGCAATTAGTAATCTAACTAATTACTATTTCTGTCATTACAATGCCGTTACTGTTACTAAGAAGAAAATGCAGTGTAGACACCTTACTATTTTTCAACACACAGAAGAAGGCTTAAGCTCATCTTACCGGGAGCTAACAATCGCACGAGTGCTGCTGGTTGGCTGGGGAAGAATAAAGTACTCATGGTAAACCAATCACATGACCAATTTAAGATCACATAGAAACAAGATGCTATATACCATATAGCATCTTATATAATGCTATATAAACTGTGTTGATAGGCCAAGTAAAACCAGAGTCAGGATTAAAAAAAATCATAAAAGTCATGATAAAAAAAATACACCTGGTGTTTTTTTCCAGAATACTATCATCACGTTTACTGTCTAAGGACAGCGCTTGCAAGCGCTCTCTGCTTATGATCCCCCCACCCCGTACCTATTGGTGGAAAAATGTACCATGTCGACCAATAAAACAACTGGTATGGTCACATGGCATTTGGTTCTTTAGGCA